GATTAAAAACAACAATACATATACTCAGAACATCGACTTTAATAAATTCAACAATATTTCGTTGCATAAGTAGTTCAATAAAAACCATTCTTAATTACTATGTTTTTTCTTTATTTTTCTTTGGTATTTATTCCACTTTAGACTGCATCATACTAATGACGTAAATTTGTCATCAACCTCAACTACATCAATGTCTTTATTTCGAGAAAACGTTATGACCATAGTTAACTGGTTATTCAGTATGTGAAATGAACCTAATAATTTAATTATAATAATTATAAAAAGTTATGATCATTTTCTTTTTCTCTGTCTATGCAGTTATCGGTACTGTGCAATGTCTATGTTGCTTGCTTCAAAACTTAATTTGGAACATTAGTGTGAAACGACAGATATTTCGTATGAGTATTGGCCTCTTTCAATCACTTGTTCAACGTGTAAGTCGAATAGACTTCCATTTACAAAAAAAGCTCTCCAGAGTTTATTTCCAGCGTTTTCTTGGTGTTTTTATTCACTTATAGTATCTTATACGCGTTATCTTGAAGGCATTCACCCCATCAAGAAACTAGCAATGGTAGTTAATCCATGGAATAGGCTAGAGTATTTCAATAAAAGTAATGTATGCCAAGAGAGTAGTAGGTTCTAAGAATTCCAGATCGAAAACTACGACTTTCAAGCAACAGTGCAAAGGTATTCTAAAGTTTCTTGTCACCTACATACTACTTACTTTCTTGGTTCCATGAAAACTAAACTTTCTATAGTGTGATTCCGAAACGATTTTAAGAAAACATTGATGAAGTTATCTAAATGTGGATATGAATGAAATACACACTCACACCAACAACCACACTCCATCTATTTTTGAAAAGTTCCCACCCTAGAGATATGAATTCTACGAATTCTGAAACTTTTCGGCTACAAATTGTTTTCTAAGTAAAACTATTAAAATGCTAAGTTGGTCTTTACTAAGTAAAATTTCTATGTGCTCAGTAAAAAAATTGAATGCTAAGTAAAAATATTGAATGCTCTGTTAATTAAAAGTTTCTCAGTAAAAAATATATTTGCTAAGTTTAATAGATAATCGCTAAGTAAAAACTATTTTTGTTAAGTTAATAAATCGAAGTTATACTAAAAAAATAGAATCGCTAAGTAAAAATTATTATTACTGAGTAATTTCGAGTAAATGTAAAGTACGATTATCGGAGATAAGAAAAATATTTTATAGTACTATAATGTATGTACAGCGGGGTGCAAAAAAAATTGCCGTTGCCCACATGCACTTTCTTGAGCCATATCTGGCGAACGTATGGACGAATCCTTTTGAAGCTTTTCTCGATAGTCAAGCAGGTGTTATCGATTGCAGTGTGACCGAGATCTCTGCAAAAGTATTATTATGTCAGCTGAGAGGCATCACGATTCGAGTACTACCTACGTTTTTTGTGTATCAAGCAGTCATCTTACAAATCCGAGACTAGGATGATCGTTGAGCTGCGGAAATCGTATTATTAGCGAAGTTCTTTGTTCATAGTATCTAATGAAATATAAATGAGCTGCAAGTAGAATTGATTCGAGAAGTAAACCGATGATCATGCTCCATAGTAGTCTTTGTACAAATGGCACTTCTACCCCGATTTTCGCATTTTCTCAATAATAGTTCGCACAATCAACTTGAAATTTTTAGAGTAGATATAGCTCAGCTAATAAATGAGTTTAGTTTCAAGTGAACACTTCTCAGAATGCATCTTCAGGTGCAAATATGGGTAACAATTCGAGGAGGTGGCGTTTAGTTTATTTCCTGCCTGCACCATTATATCAGGCTGAAAATTCGGCTATAATATTCTGATCCAAAATGAGACTCATAGTTGATTTCACTTTACTCCAAATGCAAATTTTATGTCGTGACAGAACTCATATGCATGGGCAAAATGACCCTAAGTTACTTTGAGTATAGCGATGAAGACAAACTATTTCCCTCTTTTTGTCTTGTAAGAAAGCCAAGGTAGCTGTCAATTATTATATTTGTATACTCGGTGATGTATGCACTATGTACGAAAAAAGCTTTTGATATTCATCATCTTCAGCGAAATAACTTTGTCGGATACTAATGGCAATTTTTTTTGCACCCTACTGTATTGTTTTCTCTTGCTTTACTTCTATCATCGTTAGACTGGTATCGTGATATATATGTCAACATTCAATTTCGAATTCACTCCAATCTCGGATGTTCACATTGAATTAGTCCATTGTTGGATTGAGAAAATTTTTTTATTAAAATCTTCATCACTCTCAAGGTATATGTTGGATTGAAATTTCCGTTGATAAATTGTAATGGAGCAATGGTACTTCATATATTAAAATCATCAATGCAGAACCTAGGTTCGAATTTGAACTCTAATGGATAGTTTTCCTAAAAAACTGTTCTCCTGTTGAGATTTACGTAGAGATTCACGAATGTTACTTCAATTTGTATATCGACTATTGTATTTTCTAGAGTATCATTGCTGCAAGGCCATTTATCAACAAGAATTTCGATCTAACATTTCTCTTGAGAATAGCCGAGGTTTTAATTAAAACAAATTCCTCCATCTGACGTTGAACCAGCCCAAAGTGAGCACCCGAGATTGACCTAGGTGGATCTAATATTGAAGTGAATTCAACACTGGATGCGAATACACATATATATATCGATTATAGATTTTTTCGTTCTAATGTAGGTGCCTTTTTTCTTAGAAAATGCTCTAGTACAATCCTATTTGTTTTTCGCTTGCTATTTCTTTTGCATAAGATTTGTATTGCTTTCCAAAGACTTCTCTTCTGTCTAGCACTTTTTGATACGCTCTTTTCCTCGTTTTCTTATATACTTCTGCTGATCTGTCATTGAAAGTTTATATTGAATTAAAAACCTAAACTTTAGCAACGTGACGGAATGAAAAAAACCGACTTTGCGATTGTCCGAGCTTCTTCAAAAAATATATTTGTAAAAATATTTTAGGTATAGGTATTAGGTTGAAGTTTTGAAAAAAAAACATCTCTATCAGCAAAGGATATACTTTTCGATAAAAAAAGAAAACAAGAACGACGACGAAAAACAACAAAAGCTCTGTTGATACAATAACTGTGCAATTATCTTTTTTACTTAGATATTCATGCCATTTTACTTAACAAAAATTATATATTTACTTAGCGATTCACAATATTTTACTAAGAAAATCAAACTGTTTTACTTAGAATTTAAATAAAAAACTTAACAAAAACACTTTTTTTTACTTAGGACTTTTTTCAATAAATTGCTTAGCAAAAATTTAATTTTTTACTTAGCTTTTATTTGAAATTACTTAGCACTTAAATAGTAGCCAAACTTTTCATACAATCCACTGTATATGAGACTTTCAAATGGAAGCAGACTCAAAACTAAATTCAAATGCACAATTTTTGTAAAAACTCTAAGATCGTACATCAATTCCAAGCAAATTCGCATACTAAAAATTCAATAGTTTCACCAAGTTTCAATAAGAACTGAAGTCTTTTAAGATTTTCCATTAGAGTAGTATCTAGTATATATAGGCGAAAACTCACTGAGAAGGGAGTACGGCATGAGCGGAGGTTTACTTATTAGATCACAGTTAAAGTGAAACTTGACATTGAATGAGTGCAGTCACAGTGAGATTACTGTCAGCTTAAATCAGATTTGAAGTTGATTTCGAGGTGATATATTTTTATCAATCACGCTTAAACCTTTGTTCATTTGCTAACTTGTCAACTAAATATAAAAAAGTTAAGAGTAAAAGCACTGATTGCAGAAATAAATGAAAAAGGATTCAACTGTTAAAAATTAGACCTAGTAGAGCATGACTTTTAGCAGCTAAAGTGGTAGTTTAGTCGAAATTTGGAAGATATAGACGAAGTCGGATGTGTCCAAATATAACTGCTTCTCTCTTTCTATCTCTCTTTTTAGAGCATTCCTTATATGGATACTAAACCGACTAGCCAACTGAATGCTAAACTATTTGAGTAAGCCATCGTGATATTTCATATCAAACAACTTTATCAGATTCAATTCATATGTAGTAACATTGCAAAGATCGAAAAAGGCATTGGCTTTGAGTTCTTAGTATCGATCGCATCGTTAATCACCATGATTGGTTGGTTAGTAGAATCTTTGATTGTCAATTGGCAATTAACTTTAATCATGCTATCTTTGTTACCTTTGATCTTTGGCAGCTTATATGTGTTTTCTAAGGTATGAAGTTTTATTCATTAAATTCAATTTATATGATTTATTACAGCTCACTGCTAAAGAAGCAATGAATGAGTTAAAGACATACTCGAAAGCAGGACAAATCGCCCAAGAAGTGTTTAGTTCACTGAGAACTGTTCTCTCTCTCAATGGTAGCAAATTTGAACAAAAACGGTAAACGAATATATCAAAATAGTTTACTTATTTCACATAATAAAACCTGTTAATATTTTTTTTTGCATTTAGATATGAAAGAGAATTGTATGCAACTCGTTGGAGTAGTATACGTCAAGGTGTAGTGTATGGAATTTTTATTGGATTCCTATCTCTGGCAACCTATCTAGTTTATGCACTTGGTTTTATCTTTGGTTCTCTTCTTAAATCAAACAAAGATTATCATAGTATGAATATTAGTGATATTATTATCGTGAGTAATTCATATGATCAGTCAATAAGGAAATAAATATACTACTAATATCTGAATGAAGGTCGTCCCTGTGTTTGCGCAATGTATAAATTTCTTCAGTTTTATTATTCCTTTCTTTCAATCGTTTTCGGAAGCTCGAGGTGCAGCAACATCAGTGTTTCGACTTATTGACGAAGTAAAGTCGAATAAATGCAGGTCTCATGTCGACAGCAACGCTCTCTATTCGTTTACATTATATAGGGAAATGACACAACTATCAATGAAACTGACGTATGGAAAGAGAATACAGAATCAATTTATAATATCAATGGTGACATTCAATTTGACAATGTCAACTTTATGTATCCATCTCGAAAAGATACACCAGTTCTTCGTAATCTTTCACTCATCGCTCGTGCTGGTCAGACAACAGCTCTTGTAGGTTCAAGTGGCTGTGGCAAGTATTTTCTTAAACAAGCATGTTAAAATTGTTCTCATTTATGTTCATTATGTATTCATAGGAAAAAGTACATGTATATCACTATTTCTTCGTTACTATGAACCTTCATCTGGTCGAATAACAATTAATGGTCGACCAATAACAAACTACAATGTCCAACAACTTCGACAAACCATTGGAGTTGTCAATCAAGAACCTGTATACTTCTTTTCTTCATTTCTTTTTGTCTCTTTCTATTTGTTTTTATTTGTGTCATAGATTCTATTCGGTATGAGTATTTATGAAAATATTCGTTTTGGTAAAGTAAATGCAACACGAGAAGAAATTGAACAAGCTGCACGAGAATCAAATGCACATCATTTCATCATGCAATTACCAAATGTTTGCGCTCAATATTCGTGTTTATTGATGTATATATATATAAGATTATTTCTTGTTTAGAAATATGAAACACTTGTTGGTGAACGTGGTATCCAGTTGAGTGGTGGTGAAAAACAACGTATTGCCTTAGCTCGTGCTCTTGTCAAGCAACCTACATTTCTTTTATTGGATGAAGCAACAAGTGCACTTGATAATATTAGCGACAAAATTGTTCAAGACGCTCTTGATCGAGCATGCAAAGGTAACAATTATTCTTTTCTGCTTATCTTATTGACACTTGAATATGTGTAGGTCGTACAACAATTGTTATTGCTCATCGTTTGAGTACAATTCAAAATACTAATCAAATATATGTATTAGATAATGGAAGTGTGATTGAGCAAGGTACACATGAAACATTGATGGCAGAAGAAGGAGGCAAATACCAATCAATGGTCAAACGTCAACAAATGGAAAGATTCGATGATGATAAAGATGACATGATGAGCATGGAAAACGTGACAGAAGAAGATGAAAAATTGATAAGTCTGTTGTAATTCTAGTTGTGATGATCGTCATTTTTCTTCATCTTTTTTATGGAATAGTTGAACATACGCGTTCGCTTAGTGATCGTCAAACTATTCATGTGAACAAAGTTAAAGTACTCCTGTAATTCTTTATAAAATTTATTATTTATAATCTTCTTTTTTTAAGCAAAGTTCAAAGTCATTCATACAAAGATTTGTCTTTTTAAGACTCTTATCAATGAATAGTCCTGAATGGATTACCATCTTGATAGGTTGTATAGCTTGTATACTGAATGGAGCAGGTCAACCATTGTTCGCATTTTTACTTGCCAAAATCATCGATGTGAGTAAGCGATTCCTATAATCATCATGCAAACATATTGACAATATATTATTTTATGTCGATCTGTGTACTATGTAGGCATTCAAGTTTTGTTCAAACACTGAACGAAACCATCAAGTGTTGATTACTAGTTTTCTTTTCTTACTTTTGGGTGCTCTGTTATTTATTTTTCGTTTCTTTCAAGTAAAGAATGCTTCTTCTAAGTTTGGTCAATGATTTATTCTATTATTTTGTTATAGTATACATCTTTTGCCATATCGGGATCAAAATTGACACAACGTATTCGTTCAAAAGCTTTTGCATGTCTTCTTCGTCAAGAAATTGCTTATTTCGATCGACCAGAAAACAGCTCTGGTGCAATTTGTGCTCGTCTTTCTTCTGATGCATCAGCCATTCAAGAGATGGCTGGTACGCGATTAGGAGCCATCTGTGAAGCTCTCTCAATGACGTTTTTTGGACTTCTACTTGGATTTCTCATAAATTGGCAATTAACAATGATCGCTTTTTGTCCTCTTTCTATTCTAGCTGCAGTCACTTATGGTGAGATGCAGGTTCGTCTATGGATGAATCAACAATCCAACCAAATTGTCGAACAAGCAAGCACGGTAAAAATCTGGCTCTAGCTAATGATCCTTTTATATAAGGAATACTAAAATGTCTTGAAGCTTTTGATAAATTGAATATACTAAATTCAGTCTATCTTTCATTTTTGCAGCTTGCTACTGATGTTATTCACAATATGCGCACAATAAAACAATTGTCAGTAGAAAAGGAAGTTTTTCGACAATATTCTGAATTATGTCATCAAATGTTTATGTTTGTCAATCGAACTGTATGTATACATATATGTTTAATAAAACTTTGCTTTGTTATAGATTGTCTTGGAAACCTTCGATACCATTGTCCATTGCGTATGGTATATACTGGACTGTAGATGTATACACTATGGCATTTTTGTATTGGCGTGCTCTCATTCTTGTTGAAAAGAGCGAGCTCACCACAAATCGTATTATAATGTAGTTGAAACCACAGTTTGATAATTTAGAGACAATTTTTCATTATCTTTTCAATTTATTAGGGTGTTTGCTTTTGTTGTTTTTTCGATTGAAGTAATAAGAATCATCGGGATGATGTAATGTTCTCAGTCTCTTCTTTGCTCTTTTTCTTCTACTGTTTCCATCCTAGATCTAGCCGTATCGCTGCATCAGTATCGGCTGCTGACATGTTTTTTGATTTATTTGATCGAAAACCAGCTATCGACAATACAACTACTGAAGGACAAGAGTTGGTAAGAAGACATACAAGACATCTATTCTCTTTCAATCGTATATCTACTATGCATAATATTTAATTCATGTAGATCGATTTTCGTGGAGAAATAAAATTGGATCAAGTTAAATTTATCTATCCTATTCGACCAACATCGATTATTCTCAATAAACTTCAATTGAATATTAGGTCAGGTAAGTGAGATAAGATTCTATTTAATCGATTTAGTAGAAATTTTTATTCTCTAATAAGGTCAACGTGTGGCTCTTATTGGTATGTTAGAATTAAATGTTTCTGTTGAATGCTCATTAGGTAATATAATTCGTACAGGTACATCTGGATGTGGAAAAACAACAGTAATTCAACTATTGGAACGATTCTACAATGTCACACAGGGTCAACTAGTTAGTATTTTTTCAACATATAGTTTAAATAATCATATAAAATATGCCGATTCAATCTAGTTTCTTGATGGTATTGATATTCGACAACTAAACCTACAATGGGTTCGTTCTCAGTTTGGTCTTGTTAGTCAAGAACCAATCTTATTCGATTTAACAATTGCTGAAAATATAACATATGGCTTAGAAAATGTCTCAATCGAAGATATTATCAGTGCAGCAAAGAGAGCTAATATTCATCAGTTTATTGAACAGTTGCCTCAGGTTAAACATTACAGAATTATCTAATCTATCTATTACTGTTATATGATGTTATCTTTTAGGGTTATGAAACAAGAGTAGGGTTGAAAGGTAGTTTTCTATCAGGTGGTGAAAAGCAACGTATTGCTATTGCTCGAGTTCTTATTCGTCGACCTAAAGTATTGCTCTTAGATGAAGCTACAAGTGCCATGGATTCACATAATGAACAGGTGAGCTGTTTTTTTTTAATTTATAGATAAAAGTTTCATCTTCATTTGTTATTTATAGCTTGTACAAGAAGTGCTTGAGCAAGCTCAAACAGAAGATTCCAGTCGAACATCATTGGTTATTGCTCATCGTCTTTCAACTATTCGTTCATGTGATTTGATTTGTGTACTTGATGGAGGACATATAGTAGAAAGTGGTACTCATACAGAATTGATGCAGCAACGTGGTGCTTATTATAAAATGCTTGCTCAAAACAATTCAAAATAATTATCAGTGAACTATTATGTTAAACATTAAGAGAAACTGTGCCTAAAACGTTTGACTCACAATATAGTAACAGTGCTCAATTCAATATACGCTTTTTATTAGTAATAAACGTGAGTGAAGTTCTTCGTTGATTCGAGTATTACCTTCTAGAAATCACGCCTAAACTTGTTCCAACATGAAAACCAATGTTTACTTGTTGTTTTGGTGGAACTCACATAGGTTTACGAAGAAAATATAGTGAGTGAAAGTTTTAAACAAGGTTTTTGTAGCTCACCAGAGTATCTAGAAACTGGGGAAGAGAACTGCGATAAATACCAAATATTACTGAATTCATCAGTAATAACAGTGCTTAGATCATTCCATAACTTTTTAGAATCTTTCAAAGCATTATATGAATCCAAGCTTTGTACTGTAGATTCTAACTAGTGAGAATATTGCTGATTTGGGTATTCAATGCGGTGAAGGGATCTTATAGTAGGTGTCAATCAGCAGAAGCAGAATAGGACCGACTCAGATAACATGAACTAATTGAATTCGAAGTTTTTTTATTGATTCATTTGGCAGTATTTTAAATAAGTTATTCTAACCTCTGTGACAATATATCATAAAATTTATAAGAGTCAGAGTGTGTGACTTCTAAACTTTGGTTCATATGGGTCATGCACACTGGCATTTTATTCATTGATTTAACTGCCATTTATATTTGTACGAGAATCGAATAACAACGAATTTGGAATGAAGTAATTAAAAATCGACCATGTGTAAAGGATTAAATGGGAAACTAGAACACATCTGCAAGATATAGTAAATTTAAAAGATTGTTCGAATTCTCAAAAGAGTTTATTTAACATAATATCGAAAAAAAGAAGTATTTTGAATAGAACACGGTGTGACTATCGCATAGTAACCAAAAAAAAATTTGTTCGACATTGTTTCATGTAGGATGCGAAAAAATAGTTCTAATTTTACCTGTTGAATTCAGGATTTTCTCCTTTTCAAAATGAGCTATGAAAGTCCAAGACACAATGATCTACGCCAAAGAAAAAAAGAACTCTGAATGCAAAGGATCCAATTGAATTATTATATCACACCTAACGTTAATATTAGTATCTAGCAATCTTGTTTCTCTTTGTTGATGACCCGGCAGTCACAGTGAGCTCTAGGTTCGAAAGAATTGATAGTCCAGGACAAATAAAGCATGAAGTTACTAGGGATGGGCGATTCCGGATCGGAATCGGAATCGGAATCGGGATCGGCGATTCCAATCCCGATTCCGATTCGAAAAAAAATTATCTTTGCCGATTCCGATACGATTCTTAAAAAAGTTAAGCCGGTTCCGATCCAGTTCCAGTTCCAAGTTACAAAAATATTGGAATCGGAAATATTTTCATGAAAAACAAAATTTATCTTTATTTTCCACCAAAGAACAAAATTAATAGTTCAAAATTTTCTTTAAAAAGTATTTAAAAAGAACCATTTTTTCTTAAGAAGAGATACCTTGCAATCAAAGAATGCATACAGCGTGCCTGAAAAGTCATTTATCAGAAAGAAACTTACATATCTCTATTATGGTTTTATTGGATAAATTAATTTCTCTGCTCAAAGTGCAAGATTCTTTTAAGTTTTTATTCCTAATTACAAAGCTGTCAAGCGCTCCTATAGAGTAGTATTCTTAAAGTTTTTTGCTTCAGATTGCAAAAAGTAGCATGTAGGACTTTTTCTTGTGCTCCTTGAATTTCGTTTCATTATATTGAGTCTTTAATAATTCACGCCCATTTTCTTGTAAAGATTTCTTCAGCATGTCTGAAAAACCAAGAATAAATGGCATTTTTCTTCAAAACAATTTGCTTGTCTTTTAGCAAACACTTTCATGAAAAGAAAACTAAGTTAAAAGACGTGGCTTCGAATTTTTGCGGACACTAGACTTGAAATCAATGTTTCTTGTTTCTTAAAAATCTGTAAAAGATGCTCATAAAGCAACAAAGTAGGCCTGGGTGACTAGAAGCTCACAGTAATAAAATAAATTGTACAAATTCATAAGAAAACCCTGCATACTATTTTTTCAGATTCGAAAAAGGGCTTTAAAAGTGCTTCTTTGTAGCAGTATTTGGGAACTTCATGTTTATAAATAAAAACTTGGAAGCGCCCTCTACTACGAATACAAACACTAATTCATGCAACAGAACCATAATAGAAACATATAATTGCCTTTTGCGTCAACAAATTTTCGAGCAGCTTAGATTCCGGATAGACGATTCCGGTATCGGAATCGGAATCGGAATCGGCAACTCCGATTCCGATTCCGATCCGAAAAAAAGTTTTCCTTGCCGATTCCGATACGATTCCTAAATTGTTAAAGCCGATTCCGATACGGTTCCAGTTCCAAAAAAAGTCGATTTTGCCCATGCCTAGAAGTTACTCTTGAGGTATCCGGTGAGCGTCCATCCTGTCGAGATGATAATGATGTTTTGAACACGCTAACCAGATGAAAGAGGCAGACTAATGAATAAATAGTGTATTTGAAAGGACACGGTTCATTTCAAATCAATTATAGGATAAGTTTAAAGTTTCGAAAACCGAAAGAATGTAAGTATTGTGTTCGCATTCACTGATTTCCAAACAAAAATCAATTGCGGCTTATTCTAATCAATATCAGATGTATGTCTTCAGACAGAATTGATTTTGATTGATTAATCTCGGCAAAACTGGGTTTCAATCGATGTCTTGTATCACTTAAAGATTAAACCATATTAGCCGCTAAATCGCATGTGAATCAATTTCTGTTCATTAAAAATCTATTTTAATGGAAAATGTCAATGAACTCTTGTCAGAGCTGATCAAAAACATTGATGTCCATACAATATGGCAACTCATTTGATTTCAACTTCAATTACCGTCCAAAATTGATTTATGTGAAGATCTTTTAGCTGGTTTTTTTCATGAGCATCTGGTAGAGCTGTCTAAAGTGATGATTTCGATAAAAATGATTTTTCAAACGGATGCAAAAATAAGGACACCACGGTCATAATACTAGAAAACATTAGTTTATGATAGGAACGTTTTGTTTTTCAGTATTTTGACACTAGCTTCCTAATTTCTGCGTCTATTTGAAAAATAATTTTTATCAATACGATCTGTACAAAATATATGCAGAATAGGCTATGTTGGACGAATTAATGACCTTCATGTTTATTGGAGTTGATATTCGAGTACTCATAAAACCATCCATAATAAAACAAGTGGCATTGTTAGATGCAGGTAAGAAATACTTCAGAATAAGTATTCGCAACGTTGTTTTTACTCGACGTCACTTCACTTGAATAGTGACTGTATGCTGATTTTGAAAAATCGGAGAAATTTTTATACGCGAAAAATAGTACAGGTCATTGCTATAAAACTGTAATTTATACATATGAATCACTCGAATTCATACATATGTTTGAAATGTTAGTTTATGCTAGATTTGTTATCCGCATGTTATTCGTAAGCATTGGTCTAATCTGTATGGGCCTCCACTTGATGCATATAATTGCCAATGCTTCTCGCCGGAATTCGGAAAGGGCAATAAAATAAATCGGAAATTCTATAACATGATAACTGTAAAGCACTGAATCAAATGAATTTCGAAGAGTTGAACTTGTAGTATTAAAGAAAAAGCCAAAGATAATATTAGATGGCATAGTCATGATCGAAAAAAGAAGTGTCAAAAAAAGAAGTGTAAAGGAAATGCTTTGATGTTGATGGCGTCTATTCTGAGCTCTTGCCATATTCTTAATACAGTTCATATGATAGATTGTACCGCTGTTGAAAATAGTCATTAATACAAATGGTATACAGTTGTATAAAACGAAATGGACAATCTCCATTGTAGGTTGGATCTGATAGAAACTACCTTCCTCGTTGACAGAACCATCAGCGTTATAATAACAAGCAAATAGAAAGAAATGAAAATTGAATAGAGTAAAAAAACCCACGATAGATCCAATAATAATCAGGACACTTGTTGAACGACTGAACCAAGTTCGACGAAAATGACTCGATGCCAAGTATCTATCCAGAGTGATGAATACACGTAGCCAAGCTGATACCTGCGATGCAAAATGGTTGAGGAATGAGAAAAACTTGCATGATGATATTGAATAGGATTGAAGTGTAAATCCATGTATAGTTGAAAGATAATGATCAAGATTCCATCCATATAACATAAGAATATCAAAGATGGTGATAGCACGCATATAATGAAGTGTTGGTCGTCTGTTCGTGTCACGAAATGTTGGTCGACAGAAAACCGCAAATGTGAGAAGATTCACTATGGTACCCACAATGACAAGAACTAAAGGATAATAAGCACTGAACAGGTCCGCTACAGATAGAACATTATCGACTGTCGTATTGCTACTAGCCTTTAATATGATGTGCTGCATTAATGATGTTATTTTTCACTACTGCATAGAATAGGATCTTCTACATTATTTTCTCCTTCCACCAAGAAGAAATTGCTTGATTGAAGCCTTGAAAATAAGATTAATGCAACCACTCAAACGGCTCTCTTTTTTTTGATTAAACTAAAGACGCAAATAGAATCATTTTCTATAACTTCCACGTTTATAGAACATTAGAACACAAAAAAATTGGTTGATGCTTTGAACGACGAACAACATACAATATTCAATTCTGTTTCTGCAGATAAATGATATATCAGCACACAAGTTATACTTTCTTTCAACAATGATTGTCTTCTTGACGTAAGTTAACGATAGACATAAACCTGAAATTTTGCTTGAAACGAGACATAAAATAGCGTTGTCATGTCTGGAAACTATATATCATTTGTTATTGTAGAATATCTGTTTGTGCGTAGATTGGAAAGAAACCTACACGAAGAAGATTGCATGTTTGGCAGCTTCAGTCTTAAGTAGTTATCTTAGGCTAATAAGTTATGAATATAACTGCAACAAATCACAGAGTCTGATGTTAAATATATTTTAAAAATAACATAG